TATATATATAGTAACGGGTCCGTAAAAATATCAATATATAATAATCATTAACAACGTGTACCTCTCTGAAGTCCCCAGCCCTGGACAGGGTGAACGTATGCCGGCCGTTACCGAAGTTGACCGCTGTGTTGTCCTCCGCACACACAACCCGGAACAAGTCTCCGATGGAGCGATCTGGTGTACTGACCGTCACAAACTCCTTGCCCCAGGTGTCCACAGACGGAAGCATCTCTGGAAAGGTGAGAATTATAGGTGGACATTGATTGTTCATCACTGGACGGATAAATAGGTCCTCAATACATTGGTGTTAGTCCCCAACCAGCAAACTGAGTAGACAGGGGATTAAAATGGTCTGAACTAGCTAACGGTCTACAATTTTGTAACAGGTGACATACCATTATCAAGTGATACATTGTTATATTACAAGGTAACCCAAAATAGCTCGGATGAGACCTGATAGGCAGGGTTGAAGAAGTTCACCACAAAACTCATCTCAGTCGGGTCGATGTAGGAATAACAAGTTATCAATTTGTTATTGAAAGTATATTATGTGTCGTACTCTGAGATTGAAACAATTCTAAATCGTTTAGGAAGTGGGATTTTTCTACTGCTCTTGTCAGGGCCAACATAGTCAAGGTGGAATACATCGTCCCAGCGTATTAAAAGTGATCGCCGACAACAGATGCCGAAAGTTAACCTTACAATACATCGGCAAACTTTTCAACAGTTTCAAGCAAAGAAAAAACAAACATTTTAGGAGAGAGTAAATAATACATTTCATCCTCTTAAAAACTGTGTCCAATATGTGTACCCTTTCATGCTTTTTTTCAACATTTATAATTTGAATACCTACAAAATCAAATACACATATTCCTGGAGCACCAACGACTGACACCACATACTAAGAAACTACAATTTAAAAATTCAAACTTTTAGTTGAAGTACATAATATGAACATCTGACCGAAGAAAATTTGAAACAAAAATACTTACCAGTGAGATGATCGGAAGAGCTGGTGCCCTTTGGAATCCACGACCGGTAATTTCCACTGATGCAGGAGATCGGCTTATTCGAGGTGATGTAAGAGCCGGTGAGATCAGAACTGGTGTCTACCCACTGGGTCACAAACCACGTCTGGTATCTGTATATTATAGATAGATAGATAGATAGATAGATAGATAGATAGATAGATAGATAGATAGATAGAGAGATAGAGAGATAGAGAGATAGAGAGATAGAGAGGTAGAGAGATAGAGAGATAGATGGATAGATAGATAGATAGCATTAATTGTACAGCGCAAATTCAAGCTCAACGGCAAGCTTTGTGTGCTTTACAGTCTATATTATTACCTCAGCAGACATGATGGCTTTCTGACACAATCTCAATTTCCTGGGAAGAATACAGTGCACGTTGCCATTTTATAGACGCTAACATACTACCGTAAGAACAATTACCATAAGTTGGGTGCATGTAGTGTTCAAAGTAACGCGGTGATTTTGGTTCAGAGGCCGGAGTCGGCAGTATAATGCTTAAGATCTTCGCCGTCGCACAGAGAGCCATTAACTATAATATAAATACATGACTCCATTTTCATTCCTCACCTATTGACAGTGAAACTGAAGCTCTGGCCGTTGCCATAGGTACTACCGCCGTAGCTGATAGACACCGATGACACAGATTTTGCGCTGCCAGTTCTACTGTTGTCTGAGAGCTTGACGGTGACACTTGTGGAGTCACTCACACCGATCAGGAGAATCTGGGCGTTGGAGCTGGTGGAAAGATATTTTAAAAGAGAATGATTGTTTACAGCAGTTCACACAAAATTCATATGACTCCCCTTTAAGGATGTATCTCAATTCTTCCGTATACTTTTACTCATAGAAAGAACACCCTTCACTTTCGCATTCCTATTTTCAGTTGCTTTACCTTTTCAAAGAACGCTGAACGCTTTAAAAGCAATAGTCCTTGTTTTTCAGCTTGATGTCGAGATTTCGATAACACAAAAAGTGAATTTGGCTGAAGTCACAGGACCAAATTCGAGATAATGATGATCGTGATTATTCAGTTAAATAGATAACTTCATATTGTACACAGCGGGAAATCCAAAAGGCAAGGTTATTAGGAAAACCGGGCTCACATTGATGCTAAGCATAATTTCTAATCATGTCTGTCACATGGCGTTTTGGTAGCTGGTCATTGAGTTATGTACTTCAGAAAGACACATTAACTGTAGCTCAAAAATACAGTGAGGGTCTGCCTGAAATGATGTATTGATTTCAGTAATAGTGTGATATCGCAATAGGAAATTGCAAATTGTATGTAAATACAAATTGTATGCATGTATTTATACAGTAATGATGCATATATATATAGGTCAAAGGGATCAGTGCAATAAATTATTTAACTTATATTTATCTATTAATTTATTCTGATTATTCTTACATGTAGCACATGGCGTAGTACTCCTGGCCGACCACGTTCACGGGAAGAGCCACGTATGCGTCTGTTGTGAACTGTTCTTTGTTCACACAGTACACGGTGATGTCTTGAGTAGACAGGATTCTTACACCTTTGTTCTCCGGACCCGTGCCTTCAGTCCTGAAACAGATCACAGACTTATGTACAATTTGGGTGAAACCCATTTTTTGGGGTTTTTTTTACATTTTTGAGAATAATGTAAGTATGATTATTGGAAAAAAGCTGGATCTTGATTGGAAAAGAAGACAGGGAATAATAGTTGGAGATTTTTAAAACCTGAACTTCGACAAGTCATTGCCTTAATCTACGCAATTCTCATACACCTTGAAACACGTCAAGCTACTTGTTTACAGGAATATATATAAGATTATAATAATTATTTTAAAAAACAACACCAAAGAAAACTTTCAAAAAAGCAAAAACCGCCTCCCCACCTGCTGCCCCCACCCCGACACACTCAACGTATTAAAACAACAACTATTAAGACAATATTTGAGGCAGCGTGGTGGAATCAGGCTCTCGTCAGTTTTTGGGCATGTAGAGTTATTAGTATTATTTTAAAGCTTGTTCACTTGGCTTTATTTGGACGAAAACAATATCCATTTATCTTAAATACAAGTCAAGATATTTGCTAAAGAAGGAGGTGGGGGTCACCTGTTTTCAGAGGTGAAATTAGTGAGAAAATGGCGCTAAAGATTAGTTATTTCCTTAGCTTAAGAGTCCATGGTAACTGAAAATTGACCTTTTTGTGCCTTTAATCAACGTTTTTCAGAAAAATGAACACAGAAATGAGTACTTTAATGGGCATGAAAGGTGTTGAGCAAAAAAAAACACAATTTGATAAAAATTCTCAAACCTGGGGAAAAATGCAAGTTTCTTCACTTGGATTATTTTGACGAGAGGCTGATTCCACCACGCTGCCTCACATATTTGGACAGCTTGGTAACCACAACCTTCACAACAGACAAAGGTAAACAACAACATTCGACGTCTCTGTCACCATAACGACGTATACCTGAGCTCATGCGGCACCAATAACAGCTCCACCTCCATTCTGGCCACGTTTGCTGTAGCGCTCCAGCCTGAGTTCCACAAGGGGGTTGTCACTGTGACGTCAGCATTGGTGTTGGACATGGTGGTCACGAAGATCTCCAGACCAACCTGAATAGGGCAATAACTTTAGGCTAAATGTTTTTAAACGCCTTTACTTCCACGAAACGCTAAACACATTCATAATACTATTCGCGCATATTCATAACTCCTTGATTAGTGTGTTATGGATGATCTATGCCTTTCACTGCACGTATAAAAATAGATAATATTACGATATTCTGATTCCTTTGTTGTTGAAATTATATGCAATAGTATACAAGACACAGTAACACTTTCGTAGTAATGCACTCGATCTATTTGTGCAATTTACATGATTTATACAACTCTCGCAATCTCTTTATTTCTCTCTCTCTCTCTCTCTCTCTCTCTCTCTCTCTCTCTCTCTCTCTCTGTGTCTCTCTCTCTCTCTCTTCCCCCCTCTCTCTCTCCCCTCTCTCTCTGTCTCTCTCTGTCTCTCTCTCTCTCTCTCTCTCTCTCTTTCTCTCTCCCACACACACACACA